AGAATGCCCTAGAATTGGCAGCAAACAAATCTGTAGAGTTTCAGTCCTAGAAACCCTAAAAACTGGTCGTAGGTCAGAAGGAAACCCTAAAAACCTGAGGAGAAAACTCAAAATCACCCAGCCGCACCTCCTGGACTAATAAAAAGAAACACTTCCTAGGTTCGATCTCAAGAAAATATACTATCTTACCCAGAAAAAATCAGCCACCACCTTCAAACCAAGATTGGAACCCTAAAACTGAAATTTCTTCTCTTCTGATTCTTCCTGATCGCTGAACATTTCCATGGTTCTACAAGTCCTCGGGCATCAATTGCACACTGTCAGCAACCTCCAAGAACTAGTCGGTGATCAAAACTCTGCTGAAACATCCAACCCTAGGAAGTTCTTATGTAGTCGGCCATATTAGACTATAATAAGAATTCCTAGGTTGGCTCTGATACCATGTAGTTGAATAGGACTACAATCAGTCCTAGATTTTAATGTTCAATTAACAAAGAAAGATTGAGAAAGGAGAAAAGGATAAGAGAAGAGAAGAGGAGAAGAAGAATTCGAAGGAAAGATTTAGAAAAGGAGAGGATCAATAACTGCCGCCCCTCTCTTGCAATTTATATTTTTTTGAATGAAAATAATTTATTAAACCAGAAATATGAGGCAATACAGGAGACCCAAGAGGAGGCACAAGTTGTTACCTCTTCTAGCAAGTATTACATCAAATTAAAAAACAAAAATAGCCAGAAATAAAATTACAGAGCAGCCCAAAATAAATGTTCCCTTGAAGCCCCTTGCTTAGCTAACCCATCTGCAAAGGTATTTGCTGATCTTCCCACCCAAAGAGAGGTAATAGTCATGTTTCTTGTGAGCCAGTTGAACTTCCTTAACAGGTCTTTGTGTCACCACATAGCTGAAGCTGGGTCTATCAGCCATCCCACAACAATCTTAGAGTCCCCTTCAAGTACCAAGTGCTGAACTCCTAATTGTTCTGCAATCTGAATACCTTGTACCGCCACTAACATCTCAGCTCTATTGAAGTCTCCTATTCCCACAGGGCCTGAAAACAATGCTAATATGTTGCTCTCCTTATCTCTCAACACCCCTCCTATCCCCGATCGGCCTGGGTTTCCTTGGTTGCTTCCATCAAAGTTCAGTTTTGCCCATCCTTCAGGTGGAGGCTCCCACACTGCAAATTCCCTGTTCTTCCTTGTATGGCTGTTAGCCACTGCTATCCAGTTTCTCCAAATATCATCAAAGGAGAATGTATGAAATAAGTCCATAGTTCTTAACCAATGAATGGCCCTAGTCAAGATACAGTCCTCAACAACCTGAATGCTTCTTTCCTTTTCCTTGAATACCCTTGCATTCCTTTCTTCCCAGATTGTCCACAAGGTGGCTGCTCTAATACATCTCCACATCATTTTTCCTTTTTTTGTAGGCCACACAAAAAAGGAAGGATCAAAAAGCTGACTTAAATCTGTGGATAGATTCCACCTGCACCCAAACAAAGAGAAAATCCAACTCCAAATAGCACTAGAAAAGGAACAAGATACAAGTAAGTGAGAGCAATCCTCACCACTAGCCCTGCAAATACACACTAGTTAGGGGACAAACACAAAGAAGGCCTTTTCTTCTGCAAGCAGTCCAAGGTATTAATCTTTCTATAAAACACCTCCTAGCAGAAAATAATAACTTTAGGTGGAACTGATCTAGGCCATATCTCCTTGATTGGAAAACCCCACTGCCCTTGGGAAGAGCAAAGGGATTTAAAAAAGGAAGCACAAGTGAAGTAGCCTTTTGGGTGAGGGGACCATAATCTCACATCCAAACTAAGAGGGCCTACAAAGACACTGCCAAGAAGGGACAACATATCTGAAACACTGTTAAGTTCATCATCCCTCAAACCTCTCCGAAGGCCAAAGTCCCAACTGAAGGAGAGGGGGGTGAATTAGGAGATGGGAGAAAATGAGAGATAGCTTTTTCCTTGTAAAGGGAAATAGAATAGAGAGACGGGAATTGGTCCTTAAGGGCAACGGTACCCACCCAAGTGTCTTCCCAAAAGAAAACAGAGATACCGGAATTGACATCATACCTAACAAAGTTGAGAAACTAAGGGAGGATACTCTGGATTGCTTTCCAAGGAGATGCCAATGTAGCTTGACGTGATACACCCGCATCCCATCCATTTTCCAGTCTACCATGTATAGTAGCTATACTTCATGCCACAACCTCTCCCTTTCTCTAGGCCATCTCCACAACCATTTTCCTAAGAGAGCTTTATTCTTGAGAGTTAACCTTCCTAATCCCAAGCCACCTTCGTAAAGTTTGCTAGGATAGCTCTCGATAAAGTCACTCTACCCCCTATAGAGATGTAGTTCTTTTTCCAAGAAGTTAATCTTTTCTCAAAATTTTCCAAAACTAGGGTCCAAAAACTACTTTCTTTTGGGTTAGCCCCTAGAGGGAGAACCTAAGTACTGCAATGGCCAAGAAGAGACGGAACAACCTAAACAATCTACCACTGATTGAATAATTCCCTCATTCATATTAACACCTACCACACAACTCTTATCCAGGTTTATCTTCAAATTGGAGACCTTCTCAAAGTGTTGTAGCAATGCTCTGAAATTCCTCACTTTTTGCCTATCACCCCCTTCACAAAATATTATGATGTCATCAGCAAACTATAGGTGGGTTACCCGAATATTGTTCCTTCCTATCCTCCAACCACTCACTTCCTCTTCCCTATCTGCCTTAGAGATTAATCTATTGAAGACATCTGCAACTAAGGTGAAAAGAAACGAGGAGAGTGGGCCACCCTGTCTAAGGCCTCTACAAGCTGGGAAAAAATCTTTGACCACCCCATTCACCAAGACTGAGTAATGACAGGAGCTAATACAGCCCTTTACCCAATTGCACCATCCATCTTAAAACCACAGCACCCAAGGACCTCTAGTAAAAAACTCCAATCCACAAGATCATAAGCTCCAGTTGGAAGATAAGAAAGTTTATCTTCATCCTTGTAATATTTTTGTGATTAATTAATGAAATGTGGTTATTGATAAAAAAAAAAAAAGATCATAAGCCTTCTCTAAGTCTAACTTGCATACAAAACCTTGATTCCCTGACTTTCTCATGTCCTCCACACACTCATTTTCTATTAGGATCTGATCTGTTATTTGCCTTCCCTGCACGAGAGCACCTTGTGCTTGACTAATGATGGAGGGTAGTACTACTCGAATTCTTGAAGACAACACTTGGGCCAGGATTTTATAGATGCTTGTTACCAGACTAATCGGCCTATACTCCTTAGGGTCCTTTGCATCTATCTTCTTTGGGATTAGGGCTAAGAAAGTGGCATTAACTCCAAGGCTTACCTTTTTTCTATCTACAAACTCCTGAAACACCCTAATAAGATCTTCTTTAACCACATCCCAACAGTCCTGATAAAAAGCCATTGTGAAGCCATCTGGACCGGGTGCTTTGGATCTATCCATTGAAAATATCGCCTATCTGATCTCTTCTTCACTAAAATCCCTCTCTAACCAGTTTACTTGTTCTTCAAATAACCTAGTCCACTCCAAATCTTCCAATGTTGGCCTATTATTCAATGGTTTCCTATAGATTGATTTGAAATGATCCACAAACATTCTTGCTATGTCATCTTGATTTGTGACTTCCTCCCCATTCACATCTAACTTAGCCACGAAATTTTTTCTCCTCCCATTAACCAATGCATGGAAAAATTTTGTATTTCCATCCCCTTCCTTAATCCATTTATGTCTTGACTTTTGCCTCCAGGAAATTTCCTGTCTCAGAAGAACCTCTCTTACAATTTATTAATTCTCAAATAAAAGTAAAAGGGTTGAATTACCCTTACTGCTTAGATGGCAAAAAATAAAAGACACTAATGGCACTAATTATTATAAACTAAAATAACTACCAACTACCAACTAACTGCTAACCACAGTCATACGAGTACAATACAGTGGGGACCACATCAGTGTTCTCTACATGAACAATATAAAAAATTGAGGAACTTCTTTTTATTACTTGACTTAAAAGAATGTCTAAAATGTTTTTCAAGTCGATAACCTTTACAGTCCAAACTATACAACTTAACAAACTCAAATAGCTTTGAAAACAAAAAAAATGCAAAGAACCAAAAGGAAGAAACCCTAACCAATTATGCCAAAGCATAATCTAACCCATTGACTCTAACTCATTACTCTTGCTGTTGACATGATGACCCTAGTGACTAGGAAGCACATCGAGAAGGTAGACTCCATTCACCTTGACTAGGATTGTAAAGATGGAGTAGTACAATTTGCATTAAATTACCTAGTTCGACCAATTGACAATACATCCAAATTGTTCCCAATTAATGCTATTTTGTTGGAACTCCCACCCCTCCAAAAGTCACTGCACTTCATTTAGAGGCAATACATATGAAACCCAATACAAATAACATCCCCAATGCAGAAGAAAGACCTAAATACCATCCCCTAATAAGTAAATCTTACGCAATAAAAGTGGAGAAACCATCAATACCTTTTTAGCTCTTGTGAATGTGCAATAGATATTTGGAACTACTACATGTTTCTCTTCAACAATCAGTAGCAAGCCCTGAATGATACCTAAAACCTGTTTGAGCTAGTGACCCCTCCCTGACTACCTCCCAAGAAGGGAAAATATGTGGGGGTGCACTTGACACACCATTATATCGAGTGCCTAGGAAGAAAAAAGAACTTGGATTTTATCTATTCAAAGAAAATCATAGATTATGTCATTGATTCACAATTGGAGTAGCTCATTAAATTCTAACTAAGGAACAAGCTCAAATAAATTACGGGGGATATTTACAAGTAAACACTTGAATGCCTTGCACTCACAATAATACCAAACAAAACATATTATGGGAATAAAATATACAAATGTTTCCTTGTTTGTTTCTTGATTGGCATAATTTTCTTATTTCTTATGCAATAACAAGTTAGACCTTCTTAACTGACCTTTATGCCAGAGGGACTTTCCATAAAACTCAGTTTGTATGTGTTTGTACGGAAACTATGAAATGAACAGCCTTGACCTGGTAATTGAGGCACCCCAAGGTTCCCCTTCTCAACACTGCCGAAAAAGATATTAATAATAAGATATGCATTAACAAATCGTGATAAAAGTTCTACAGTGATAAATTCAAAAGGCTCAAGTATTAGTTACATAAACAAGAAATCATGCGTGATTTCATAAGTTTATATCAAACTAAAAGAAAGGGCTAGTTCTGCGCCAACTCCTACAGCAGTATTAAGATTCTAAGGGACAATTTATTAAACAAGTTTACATCATTTCAATATTCCAGTCAATACTCAATTTTCATACAAATGAAACTCTACTTATAAATCTAGCAGCAAAGTTCCGGCAAAAATAGCCCCCTCCACATGGAGTCGATTTAGGGGCTTAAAAAAATCCAATAGAGAACATTAAGATGCTTCCATCAAAATACCGGCCTCTGATGAGAACTTTAACAAACAATTAATGATCATATTTATCTACATATAAGTATATAACAAACCAGCATCAATTGAGGTTCTAATGGTATTTATTTAAGTTTTCTAACTGAAGGAGTGGAGAGGAGGAAGAAGCTGAAAAAAACAAAATACCTGGTAGGATCCATTTTAGCAGTGAAGGATTTGAGAGAAAACAGGAGACCGAACATGAGCTTGTGATCTTGTTGGGCATTGAGAGTTCTGAGGGGACGATTCCATTCTCTGTACAGCAAGCACACTCCGTTCCTATTAAAGATGTACATCATGTGGGCATTATTTCCCGATCCCGTAGGCGCCGACGGTGCCGGGCTGATCTCCGATCCTCCGAAGAACTGCATTGCTCTCTAACTAAGTTCGTCTAATTCGTTCCGGATCACAGATGAAGAGACGAATTGAACTTTCGGAGACTGCAGGAACAAAACAAAGCAAATAAAAAATCAAGCCTCAACTCTCTAAAACCTGTTCGAGTCTGTATCTCAGCATCTGTTGGATTGTATCTGAGAAGCTCGGCACTCCGAAAGGTGCGTTTCGACTCGAAAGGATTTGGAAAAATTCATGATCAGTACCTTCTATTTTGCCTCGAGTGACAATTTGGTCCCCAATCTTTAAAATGTGAGAATCCAGCATTCAGACTTTTAAAATGTGACAATCCAATACCTTCAGTTAATTAGTCTATTAATCAGCCGTTAAGTGAAAAGTTAAAAATGTCTTAAGAATGCCATCTAATTCTCTTTATCAATCATCCAAACATTGACAAAAAAATGAACAATCCCAAATTTTAGATTCTTCTATGCAGTTACCAACGTTTTTGAATAAAAGATGCTAGGATTTGAGACAGTTTAGTTTTTTGTCAATGTTTAGATGGTTGATAAAAAGAATTAGATGGCATTCGAAGGGCATTTTTTACTTTTCCTTAACAATTGATTAACGGACTGGTTAACAGGTACTGGATTGTCACATTTTCGAAGTCTAGGTACTAAATTGTCACATTTTGAAAGTTCAGATATTGGATTGTCGCATTTTAAAGTTTGGGGACCAAATTGTCACTCGAGCCAAAGTACAAGGTACTGATCAGGAATTTTCCCAAAGGATTTTTCTTTCAGAGCACTCACTTTTGTGCCACATCAAAAATATTGCACGAGCGAATCTGGATCTGCTTCAGAGAAAGTGCACCTCATAGCCTATATCACCACACATCGGGAACATCTCTCGTATTTGTTTGTTACAATTCATTGGAGATGTTACCAATAGACGGTGGGATGTGGCTGTGAAGTCATATGAAGAGCGTTCTATGAGGAGCAGATCTCAATTCTGTATAGGCTACCAGTTCTCCATGTGAGTGTTTGGCACGGGTGCGTGTTTCATAAGCGTTTTGTTTCACAAGTGGGCCTGATATACAAGTGTTTCATTTTACCTGTGTCCTTTGAAAAATACAAAAAAAAATTGGGATGCAGGTTGACTAGGCATTTTAAAGTGATTTAACTTGATATAATAATATATATTGTAATGACAACTATTAAAAAAGTAATCAAATTTTCAAATTTCAATTTGCCATGTCACCAGGGTGATTCAAGAAACATCAATTTGACATTTCAAGAAACCCCTCTGTAAGTACATGAAATTCTCCATTGCCACGATCATGATAAAGGTATCGAAACAAAACCATACATATGCCTGTAACAAATACAAGGAGCCACCCAAAACTTGCGATGAACACATAAGGCTATCCCAAGCCTACAATGAGCCTAAAAGGCTATCCCAAGCCTATGATGAACTCAGAAGGCTATCCTAAATCTATGAGAGCCCAAGGGACCGTCCTAAACCTACAATGAGAATAGAACATCGCCTGAGACTTAAGGAAGCCATGACGCAGTGCCTCGAAGGCGATTGAACACACAACCAAACATGCTTGCCAGACTTGGGTCCCGCCTCTACCATGTGGCCACGAGGAAACCTACGACGAGATGTAGCCTACACATGCTAGATGAGAATCCTTAGGAGAAAGGAAACTTTGTCCTTAGGGAATCTCATTGGACATGTGGTGAAACCCCAGTAGTGTCCCCTCGATTAGCCAACATAAAGACAAGGATTCCCTTTCCTAATAAGAATTAACCTCTTTTTTGGACCCTTCTCCTTAAGGTCTCAGGATCTTCCCTATAAAAGGGAGGATGAAGTACAACCCTAGGACTTGATTATCATTTCCATTGCCATCCTGTTCCCTAAGACTATCAAACGACAGAGAACATATCGTTACCTTAACCTACAACCCTAAAACCTTGTCCCCTCTTCTTCCTTCAAGGAAACCACCCTACCTAGCCTCACCACCATATTTACATTAGAATTTCTAGTTGTGTCCTTGATGACGAAGAATGACCGCTTGTAGAATTAACCTCTCACCCATCCTTGAGAAGCAACACAATGACCTCGAGAATACCAATACAGAACTCGAGGATCATGCCCCTTAGGAAGCCAACGACCAAGTCGAAATTGAAATTCTGTCTCACAAAGTCTACGGCTTCAAAACCCGTTTCGATTGGCTAAAGTTGATGCAAGCCGAGATGAGAAGCACTCTACAATTACTACTGCAATGAATAGCTATACTCGAACACTCCCCATTCACCACCGCTGGTCCTTTCGTACCAACACCCTCCAGCTATCTCAGAATTTTGACTTTTGGGACATCTGAGTAGCATCCGCTAGAAACCAGTTACACATCCGTGCCCATCACCACCCAGAGAACCTAGCGCTTTGCTGCTAAACATACCCATACAGGGGAACGGGGTAATACGATGGCTGAACCACCCATTAGTTGAATGGAGATTAAGGAATATGAATAAGGCCTCATAGAAGAAATCCAAAACAAGGATCAGTCCATGCTCACACTCCAAAAGTCATATTCCAACCACATCCTATACAAGCCCTATCCTGCCGGCTACACACCACCCCAATAGTGGCCCCTCTATGATGGCCATAAAGGAAGTCCAAAGGAACATGTCAACAAATTCGAGGATGCTTTAGGGGCACTTGCCTTAGATGATGATCTAAAGGCCCAGGAATTCTCCAAGTCACTAACAGGCCCTGCCTATTCCTAGTTCTCCAACCTAATAGCCAGAAGTTTGGACTCTTGGGAATAACTTACAAAGAAATTCTTGTTCAAGTGGTCCACCCTTAAGCAAAGGCTGACAATGGTTGATCTCTGAAATATAGAGCAATGCGTTGGGGAGGATCTCCTAAACTATGTTGTGTGTTTCCAAAAGTTGACCCATTCAGTTTTCAAAGAGCATGCAATGAAGAAAATCTTCGTGGAGCAGTGCATACAAGGGGTGCATTCGGCCTACATAATCAGCACTGAGAATGTCGAAGTGGAGACTTTTAGCCAACTCTAGAAGTGTGCCGAGAGGACAATGTTGTTAGATAGTGTATGGCCTTAGCTCCAATCAGATTGATGTATAGATACATTTATTATGAATAAAAGTACATTATTGTTTCATGTTGATATTGGTATGTTTATGTGTAATTACCCCTTAAACTGGACACTTATGAGACTCGTGTTAGTTTAGAATGTTCTTAGCTGTTGGATAGATTTGGGGAATTTATCCTACCAAGGCTGACACTGATGTACTACCAAAGAAGTTAGGGAAACATGTCTCAATTTCTAGGGTTAGACCCGAAGCACATGTAGTGTGTGTGTTTAGATAAAACACTGAACCTGAACCTTGGAGATTGATGGGCAAAACTGAAAAGTTACACATAACCCCTATACTTGATTATGGTACTGCACTAGGTATTGGATTGAGCTGGCATTCATATGCCAATTAGTGAGATCCATCAAGGGTCAAAACTTGTGTATGTTGGGGCAATCTGAGAATTTACCTAAGTGGGTGATCATAGTGATAGGATCGGCCCCTTTGTTAGATAAAGTGAATGATAAAGTTTACACTCTCTTTGATGGAAAGCTGAATTGCTAACAATGAATTTTGGTAGTGTTTTGAAATCTGATTTTGCAAAATATATTTATGATATATGTACATATATTAATGTTTTATGAAAATGTTTACAAAAGGTTTTAATTCTTGGGATCCATCCGAGCAAAGAGTGTAACATTGTACCTTGCAGCCAGGGGAGAGGTTCTTCCCTGTCAAGTAGTGTTGTGATCATTATGGGTCTAGAGGTTAAGTGTAAGAGACCATTACAAGGCTGTTTACCTGATGGGCTTTATCTTGCTTAAGTCCATTATCCTTGGGTCTTCATAGGATGGCTGAATTAAAAAATTATTTAGGTGTAAATGCTGGGCCCATATTGAGTCCATTGTGATGTGCTCAGGGGTTCACTGCGCTTAGCAGTAAAATCGGCTAAAACTTTTCGTACAGGTTGAGCAGAACCCATGTGGACTTATGTGAGGTCATTATGGGGTCCTATACCATACAAATCAGGCCTAAGTTGGCCATGCAACATCTTGAGTCACGAGCCTTTGAAGAAAATAGGCCCAAGGCCCATAATTAATAAGATTAAATAAATTGTCATCCTCTTAAGAGGATAAGGCTTATCTTTTAATAGAGTCCATATCCAAATTAGATTTGGATAATCTCCTAATTTGATTAGGAGAGTGCACCATAAGGAGATAAAAGAAGAAGAGTGCAAACCGGACTAGAAGACCGCTCTCTCTTCTTCTCTTTTGTCTTCCAAGAAATCCCATAACGACCTAGGCTTTCAAGGACTGACAGAGATCAATTTTCTTCTAATTTTTGCAAGAAAAATTTAGAGGAATTTCAGGCTGACCTTCCCTAGTTCGATCCAAGCAGTTAGGTTGCAGTTTTGCTAAAAAGTGTGTTGTTGAATTACCTTCATCTATACACTGTGCCATCTTTAGTGGAGGCTAGTTTTGGGACTGATTTGGAAGTGAACTTCCACTTTGGGATCTGTGTTTTTGGTATTTGTATTACGTATAAATCTCCCACTTTGTTTGGTTTTAAATCTGGTCTGGTTCAGTGCAAGACCAATCCGAAAAAATGTAGTTTTTCAAAACATAGGGAATTTTATTCCCAGAAGGATTAGGAAATTTTGAAATTTCACCCAACCATCTAGCATGGTTCAGCCATCCATATGATGGATCTTAACCTTTCCAACAAATGTGAACTGTTACCACCCCAGAGCACAGACCATCACACCAGGATTGACATACACCAAGCCAGAAGCATATGCTATTGATTGCAAACCTTGCAACACAAGGGGATCCATCTAGGGACCATACTATTGTTATTGTAGCTAAGGTCAACAAAATGATGCCTCACTACCGCCACCTCCACCGGTGTTCGCCTGCAGCAAAAGCGACGTGATCATGATTATGAATAAGTTAATGGAAGACTGTGTTATTAGTTTGCCACCTTTCCCTACTAGAATAGACCTCGAAAAGGATAGACACAGGTCGCAATGGTGCAATTACCACCAGTCCCTACATCATGATCTAATGGATTGCTTTGCTTTGTGATGACTATTTGCCCAAAAGGTCAAGTTGGATGATCATGTCAAAAGGAAAACCTCCTAGGTAGAAATGAATCAACTCCCCACACATAAACACCAAGCCAGAAGCATACATTGTCGATCACAAACCTTGCGGCACAAGG